AAGCCCAACACGAGCTGTGGACTGTTCATGCCCGGGGCCTTCGGTAGTTTCAGAACGGGTGTTACACCAACAATCCGAGCTGTGGCAGGGATCCGCAAAGCCGAGCAAGCGGAGACTGAGGTGCCAGGTCACCTGAGCAAGGTCGGGCTTCACACCTTCGCCGACCCCCGTAACGGAGGCGGCAAGCGGAACAAGCAGACGACAGAGGAGCCAGATGGCCCTCAAGGGCATAGTAGTGGCCCTAGTGAGCAAGAAAGGGGCCGGCAGCCCACCCTGCAGAGGATCTGGTGAAGATCGTGGAGATGGGTTCCGAGGAGTACATCTTCTACCCTGCGCCCAAGTGCCTCGGTGCGAGGGCACTCCTACGTACTCCCCGTAGCTTCTCCACGCTGCTGCACTACCACCGCCATTCCCGAATAACTACCGCTGCTGCCAGGCTGCTGCTTCCACTGCGATATTGACTAACTAACAGAGTTCTAACGGTTGCTAGCCACGACGACCGCTGCGGCCATAGCTGCTCTTCTTGCGATTCATCAGCGGAGCTCCCAGGATCACCGTGGCTTTGCTGCGAGGCTCCATTGCAGATGAGGCTGGCAATGTGTCCTTCGAAAGAGAGCCCCTGCACTTCGGCTGACCAGTGACCAGAGACACTTGCACGTGCAGGGAACACGGGAAGCCCAAGCTTCACAGTCTTCCCTCCAAGCTTCCGGAGGAAAGGATCACTCCCAGTTCTTACCCGAGACTCGAAGTCTCAGGTTTCTGGACTCGCTTAACCAGGCCATGGCCGCAAAGAATAACGGCGGCCTCGCGCCTTGGCTGCCTCTTCGGCCCCTTCGCTCTCTGGACTCCAGGCTTCCCCATGAGTAGGAAGTTCCAGCGCACGAACAGGCAAGGTTCTCCACATCTGCTTATTGAAGCATTCGACTCGCTGCTCCAGGTGGTGGTCCAGGTGCAGCAGGTCGTGCCGCACGGATCGCTGGATGCGCGTCGCGTTCACATCCCCGGCATGCTGGTGGACATGGTCGTCGTCGCAGGACAGGGTCAAGTTGTGAATGGGAGTCATGATGCATGTCTCTGGGGGCCGAGTGCAGGGACAGTTGAGGATGTAGGAGTTCTTCTGACAATGCCAGGAGGCGAGCACGCCGCGGTCACCTATGCACCTGCAGCCCCGTGGTAGAGAGAACAAAAGCTATGTCTTTGAGATCGCTTGGATGATTTCCTGTTGTGGTGCTACGGGGATGCGGGGTCTTCTGGCTTGTCAAACCGCCCTGAGGGTGCCCTGAGTTTCTCAGCTAGGATCAGACCTACGATGCCACCCTCTCCGGAGAACTCAAGCCCAGAGCCGCCGCCATGGAGGACTTCTCGGAGATTGAAGTTGAGAGCGGAGTAGATCTGGGCTTTAGGCTCCTCGGTCGCTGCTCTCCCCCGACCCAAAGTCTTCTTAGAAAGCTGCGCTTCTCTTTCCTTTGCTTGCGGCTCCAGCATCGGGTGGCCCGACTGCGGACACCAGTTCTTCGTGCCCTCCACTAGTCACAACAACTGATCATCAACAGCTGCTTCGCGCCCGGAAGTCTTTTTCCCACGATGTCTTCAGGAGCTTCCCTGGGAGGGACCCCGCAATGCCTGTCAAAAGCGGGTGATGGCCCACCGAGCAATGTTCGAGGTGAAGTGCGAAGCTGGGACTGTAAGCCTTCCGCATGTGACCCAAGATGCTTACGTTGACGGGGATTTCTTCAGGCGACTTTGAAACCGTTGGGTTTGCAAAAGCTGGCCGAGGACAGAGCCGTGCTGAACTTCGGCGTCGGCTCCCCGGAGTTCGTCGCAGCGATGATCGAAACGCATGGCCAGCAGAACCCCTATCTCAAGGGTTACATGTGCCTCGCTGAAAAAACGAGGTTCAGATTCTTGTGCACTGGGAAAGTTTGGGGGTCGACGATGTGTTTTTCAGAGTTCAAGGCCTGGTCGCTCCAGTTACGATTGCATTGCGCTGTTAGGACTTGCAGGAAGTGCAGGGAGGGGCCAATCACTGTTGAACCCACAATGCAAGGCCCACAGTGGAGTCTGGAGTTTGGGGAGGCCAGGCTCAGGGCGGATTCCGTTTTGGCACGAGCGTGGGCTTTGAAGCGATCATGCCCACCTCGTCGATGATGGACTTCTACGCTACTTGGCTTCGCACACGTCGAAGATCGGTTCAACCCTTTTGCTGGACAGTGCAGTGTGTCTAGCGATTCACACGAAAGAAGTGAGGTAGGTGGTGGCATCGACGTTGCCTTCCTGGGCGTCGGAGAGGTCAGCGGCTCCCAAGCATGCCCTAACTGGAGTCAAGTTGTGCAGTGACATCCCGATCTGAGACCCGCCCGCGAGACTGAGAGATTGCCTCGAGGTGGATGAGCAGGGCAATGTCAACGTGTCCAACTTCGCCGGTCGAGTGCCAGGTGTTGGTGGCTTTGCTGACATCGCTGCCAACGCTAAGACGCTGGTCTTCACCACCACGCTGACCTGTGGGAACTTGGTCACGAAAGTTGAAGGCGGAAAGCTCATCATCGTACAGGAGGGTTCCATCATGAAGTTCCTTGGTAAACCATTAAGGGGGAATTAATGCGGACAGAGTCTCGTCAATCACTTGCGTGTGGGTGTTGGGAGTGTCGGCAAAGCGAGTTTGCTTTTGCTGTCAGCCTACCGAGGTTCAAGCCGACTATCGATGAGATCACCTTTCCATCTGCCTCCCAGGGATCTCGGCGCATTATGTTCGTCACGGAGCGCTGCGTGATGGAATTGAGCCTCAGCCGCCTGTTCCTGGCAACCAAATTGAGATCCCCAGTCCCCGTGCCACATGGAGCTCTTGGGAGCTCCTCCGCAATCTGTCCACCTTTTCATGAGCCCTACAGCTGAGTCGGCTGAGCTTACCCATGACTTGCTTCGCACGACTTAAGGTGTTTTGCATAGAACGTACCTGGACCCCAGCATCCCCAAATCCCGAAGACTGGGCCAAGCTTGATCGCTCCCTTTTCATTCGGTTCAACATTGACTGCGCCAGATGAGAGTTAGGTCCGTTTTTCGTCCAACTAGGCAAAGTGATTCGCGAGCGGGTTTGCGAGTCTTGTTTATGGTCCTGTGCACAGGCAGTGGTGGAAGACAGAGATTTGTGGATCCTCATACTTTTGTTTTGGCCTCGCTAGAGCCCTCAGGTCTTTGAATCCCACCTTATCGGAGATTTCCCGGCGTTCTCTCCCTCCCTCGCCCGCTTGCCGTGAGAAGCAACCAAGGAGGCAACAGCGTCTTGTTTTGACAGAGCTCGCATCCGGCATAAGTCTGGACAACGTATTGAGCAACATGGGCTTCCGACCTGAGATTGCAGAGTGCCTGGGTACCTATGACCCGCGCATTTTCGAACGATAGCGCTGTGCCGACTGTTCCTAACTTCCGGATTGTGACGTTGGGGACTTGCCACGTAGTATCTTCGCTCGGACTGCCAATTGAAGCCCGAGTCCTCCGTCCGCTTGCACAAATGCAAGCACAGCTTTCCCTCTATGGCATCGATTCGCGGCGCCAGCGTTGCTTGGAAAAGTGCGATGCCAATCACTTGTGTCGATGGGAGCTCAAGTCATGGTGCCACTGTCCTTTACGAGGATCCGCAAGTCCTTGGTCTGTATCGATCGTGGTCTTGTGAAACTAAATGCTTACAACAGCCCGGTGGGATGGAGCTTGATGAAGCACAGTGCACGTGAGGTGAGGGGCACCCCTTGCAGGGTGAGTTCCCTCATGGAAAGGAACGAGCGGGAGAGCGGGCGAGAGAGAGAGAGAGAGAGAGCGATGCAGTCGCGGCATGGCTGCATCGCGTGGCCCGTTTAGCTGAACGGGCAGCGTGGGCCCCAAACAGTGCATGCACGCGAGAAAGGGTCAAGAGCACTCTTCGAGGACACCCGGAGCGGCGAGAAGTAGCAGTCCTTGCACTCATGACTAAGCTGGCGCGGGAAAGCGTGGCTTGATAGGAACATAGATGTTGCTTGTAGCAAAGATGTACTGTGCTGAGTGCAGGGCCCCTCTGAAGCAGAGCGTGCCGCTCGCCAAGTTCGACACCATTGCCGAGCCTTGCATGGAGCTCTGCTTCGTACTTTGAGATTCAGCCGTGGGGTTGCTGGGGATGGTCAACTCATTCAATGGCTGGTGTATAGCAAGGGTCCTGATGATCCTACACATGGCTGTAGTTCGGCGTCAGGCAGGTCCAGGGTGTGCAGCCTTTCGCCTGCTGAAGAACTTGCGAGTTGCAAGGTCCGCTTTGCTGCCCTAGGGATGTCTAGTGATTAGTGCATATCCTCACCCCTGAGGACATTGTCATTTTTTGCCGTGGAGGTGTCAATAGTGACCAATTTGTAACATAAAATGAGAAAGCTGTCGGCGAGCCCAGTTCGATCGCGCGCTCCGGACTAACAGCCCTGTAGTCTGAACCGCTTCCTCGGACGACAGGCAGGCAGAAGCACTGAAGCCTCCAACCCAACCTGTCTAGAAGCGTGAAGATTCCGGTTCCCACATGGCGCCCCTTGCCAAGGTGCAATTAGCTTCGTATTTTGGTCAGCAAACGCCCGAAGACTTCCACAAGGGAAATCAGGATTCGCCATGCGGCTCCGAACTGCTCTGAGCTTCCTGCGAGCCGCTTTTCGATTGGCGCTCTGCCGGCAACCGCCGGGCTGATGCTTCGAGGTGGGAGCAGCATAGCATGTCTCCAGATGTTGCACCGCCTGCGCTTGCACGCTAGAATGGGGGCAGCAGAAAGGTTAACCCGAAGGTGGCCAACCCCTCGTTCGCTGCAGAAGTGTGGGTTCCGTTCATCGTTTAGATTGCAATTACAGCTCGCGGCCATCACTTTTCTTCAGGCATAGGTTAACACTGGCATGGTTCATTTGGACGAAAGTCGGCATGTGTGGTGTGAGGGCCAAGTTGGACCTCTGGCATAGATCCCCATTCGCAATCCGACTTTCCTGAAGGCATGGAGTGGTCGCATGGCCGCAGCCACCCCTGCCTGGGCAGATCCGGCGGCCTTCACCAACGCTCTTGCAGCCTCTTGTAGGGCACGAAGGCGCCCAGCATGTGGCTTCACAGGTTTTGTAAGGATTGAGTCTGTGCTGGGTATCCCTTCGTATAAATGTCTGTCTTGTTGGGGCTGGAGCGCGGGCACAGTCTGAGTGAAGAATGTGATTAGTTTGTAGCGACCTGGCCAGGACATCCTTTGATGCCGGGTCCAGATGTAGGGTTTGTGCTGCATGTTGACCTCTCGCATGATGCACGATGGCACGCACCCTCGATAAAAAGCAGCGTTTCAATGGCTAACTGGGAGCTTCGCCGCGCCGTCCGTGCACACTCAGAACAGACTTTTTAAACCTTCGAAGTCCGAGTCGTATTGGGATCCGATTCGCGGCGCGTGGCTCCGTCCGGCTCAGCGCCAGGTGGCAGCATGCTTTTGCATCCCTCGAGGCGGCCAAGAAACAGGACAAGGCAAATGTCATCCACTTCAATGTGATCCTGCGGAGCCTCTGTTAATCGAACATGCTCTTGCGCAGCAGCCATCCCAAGTCTAAGGTAGTGGGGCCTGTGGTGTGGCTTGAAACAGTTATATGGCAGCTCAGGAGTTGCCAGCAGGCGGAAGCTTGGGAAACGAGCCTCGGCGTGCTCGGCAGTTTACCTGGACTGCGAATGCATCCAGATGCCGTGAGCTGGACGGCAGTGATCACTGGCTTGAAGCCTTTTTGGAGGCTGTCTTCCCATCTGCTTCACACCGCAGCAAGACGAGGGGCAACTGACAGCATCACTTTTGGCGCTGCATCGCTTGCCTTTGAAAGAGACGGTCTTTGGAACCGCTCCCTAGCCCTGCAGACCCACAACCAACAGGAAGGAGGCCTCTGCGATGCCGTGCTCGTGGGTAGCGCCACCAGCGCCTGTGACAAGGGCTGTGCTTGGGCCGATTCTCTTGGACTGCTTTCCTGGGCAAGTGCTTCCAGCATCAGGCTGAAGCTCAGCTGACAAAGTTGTGCTAGGGCGGCTAGGTGCTGTGAACAGTGAACGCCCATGCCAAGAATTCAGGAGCGACATCTGCTTCAGCGCTGCAACGAGTTCGAGCTCTCGTTCCTGGCAGTGGGAAGTTGCCTTGAGCCTTCTTCAAAGCTCCGCTGAAACGGGTTTCCAGACATCCCTTTTCATCCTAAACTCAGCGGAGGCTTGGCAGCTTCGAGCTTTCTTCAGTTGTCTCAGCCGATGCGAGGGTCCAGCTCCGTAAGGAAAGCGCAGTGGCGAAGGCGGGTTCATGGTGGGGAGCTTTGTCCATTCTCAGGAGCGGCTCAGGCTTTTTCTGTCCAGCCCCTGTTCAACACCCCGCCCAACCACCGAATCAGAGCCTGCTGCTCAAAGGATCTTCCCAGCAGGCCGCGTGGAGCCTGACGCTGCGACTCTCTTGCAGGATGGGAGGACGAGGGTTTAGGGCTGTCAGTACAGACATAGACTTTTGCTTTGGGCTGCTGCTGGTGATGAACTGACAAAACTTCGGCAAAGAGAGATAGCTCAGCGAGCGTCAGCCAGGCCGACGACAGCTCAATACTTCTGGTGTGGTTGCCGGGGCAACCGTAAGCATGCACAGGAAGAGCCGTGCTGGTGCTCGGGCCGCTAGGGAGAGTCAAGAGAGGGAGTTGGACAACGACCATTCACCCAAGCACGAGGTGAGCCACAACGCCTGCCTCACGTCGTTGAAGCCCGGAGGACACTGGGAGGAGGCGGCGGCACTGCGTCTCGTTTCAGTGAAAGGGTGTGTTGAAATTTGGAGTTTTGGGTGTGTGAAATGACGCTGTCACATGCTGCCTTGGCATAGTGAGCCGAGGCTCTCTTCCATGCAGCAAAGCGCAGTGCCAGTGGGAGATGTGAGCATCAATGCCGCCCTGGCCGTCCTTTGGGAAGCAGGCGTGAACCATCTGCTCAAGAGTCCATGGATACCGAAAAGATCAGGTTGGGGAGCGAGCCGGGGCTCGTTTCTGTCTTGAACAAACGAACTTGTGCTCTTAAGGTCAGATCTACTAACCTTTGTAGGAAGAAATGTTTTGCCAGTCGTAGGCCTAATGAAAGGAGTCTGCCTGCCTGAGGTGCGACGTGCTTCGCTGGTGACTAGTTAGGTGACAAAGCTTTGTTTCACAAAGCAGCATCCTTCCATTGCAGTATCGCCGGAGGTCGCTGGCCTCGCAGTTTGACCCTGCTGCATCGGCAGGCGATCTGCGGTTCTGTCGCTGGTCCCCATAAGTATCATACGTCTGCTGTGTCCACAGCGTAGAGAAGCATCGAATCAAACCCAGGGTCACAGCAAATACGGAGTCGATCCTTACTCGTTGCACGGGCTTGGATGCATCGAAGCGGCTGGTGCAATACCTCGAAACCTGGAGCATTGCAGGAAGGCCGATTCATTATCCAGTTGCAAGGGAGGCGCCAGGAACAAACCAACACAAACCTCCGAAAAAATGATCAGCATGCCTGAGATTTCAGCAGAACGGGCTTCAGCCTCTCCGGGCACAGGTCGGTGATAGGCTTGTTGGAAGCATGCGACTGTCTCAGGCGTTGCGCTCGATGGATGGAATTCGCTTGCGGGAGACACTGGCACTGTGCGAGCAGGCTCCTGCCTTGACGAGTCGTGTTTGGACCCTGTGCTGGTGAAGCATTGGCATCCATTCTTGGTGTTTGAAAATCAGAGAGCCAGAGACCCGTGGTGGCCTGAGGCTGCGTTGTGGGACTTGGCGCTTGACCTGTTGCAGTGGCAGGCCGGGAGACTTGGGGAGAGCAGGCCCAAAGCTCGCAGCCCTCCCGGACAGCCGGAGGCCGTAGCTGTCACGCAAATAACTTATCGCAAAGTGCGCCGCCTGCCGCCATCAAGGTTTGACTTCGTTGCCGTGGGCTTGCTGTACGTGTGTTGTTTTCTTAGCCAGTAGACTCGGCTTTTCAGCCCACGTGCCTCAACTGTGCAACCGCTCCGTGTTGGAGCTGGCACCATCACGAAAGCATCGAGAACTGGCACAGAGCAGAGTGCCGAGTTTTTTTTATCCGACTTGCAGGCCACCACGCTCCTTCAACCGAGCACGGCTGGAATTTGCCGCTTGATATTCTCAGGCTCGAGATGACTCGGCTGATCTGCTTGCGTGTCGAAGAGCATCTCAAGCCTTCCTTAACAGTTGCATATGTGCGAAGGCCAGGTCAGAAGAAGCAAGAAATGACGGTGATTTCTGGCTTTGATGATTTTGATGATGACGATGATGTTGGAAACAGCGAGACCCTCGAAAACGGCAAGAGAGAAAGAAGGCTGATGGTGCCAGTTCCCGACCACATGTGCCCAGGCAGTGTGGCGCGGGCGTGTGAGCGGGCGCGGCAGTGGCAGCAGAGCTGGGGACCAAGGGTACAACCGCCCGAATGCCAAGCGAGTTTCGCGGCTTCGGGGAGTGTGGCATGTGATCTCTGCCAATCAGTAGGGAGAAGATGTTTTCCTGTAACCCGGAGGTGCGTATTCTAAAGCCTAAACTTCCTGTTGTGTCGCTGCTCTTCCTGAGAAAGGCCACGACCCAGCCAACCGTCCAAGGCGAAATGCAAGGTGCTTTCAGCAGTACTTGTCACTGGTTTCTGGAAGGGGTCCAAGGAAAGCGAGCAAACGAAGAAGAAACAAGCAACCACCGCACTCCTCACCTTTATGCATGACATGCTAAGCCACAGGGCTCAGGGGCATCTTCTGCCTTTCGCACGCACAGCCCGGCAGTTCTGAAACGGATGCCCCAGCCACGGTCGTACCCATGCTGCATAGCATAAGACCCAAGGTGTTGTGTGCCACGCTCGAGGCCTCGTGGTTGCTGGCCGACATAGTCCCACAATGGGAGGTGCAGCATCTATGTCGGCAGAGGCCATGATTTTTGTGCAAGTTTGTGCTTCGTGGGGGGTTATCTAGTATCTAGGCTATCTTGATTGCAGATTTGTTTGTGGAGATGGCCTTGTTGACCAAGCAGAGCCACACATGTGGCAAAGTTTTTGTTTGTACTCAGCCGGTGCCTCGACCTGTGCCGGTCAACGAGACCTTTCGCAGACCCTGGACCCTCTACGAGTAACTAGGCCTGATGACCGAACGGGGTTCTGTGCAGGAGTACGGGATCGTATCTAGAACTTGCCCGCGCTGGCTCACCTGTCCAGTGCAGAAGGAACTCCTGCAAAGCGTGTGGATTGGTGCGCAGCAGCTGCGGTGGGATGAGAGCTGGGAGACAGTGGCACAGGCTCCTCCCGCTGTCGTGTCTTTGGTGCTTAGGATGTACGTAGCGTGAGGTCTGAGATTATGCGCAGAACTGCATGTCTTACATATTTCTGCTTGCCAAGCCGTGGCCGAGAATCCTTTTTCGGGAGAGTGTGATTAACACAAGGGCTTAGTTTCTTGTCTTAACGGTTTTTGGGTGAATTATGAAACCGGTCTGGGCCACCTTCAGCCCAATTGCCCCAGTGCACATGTTCTCACATTGCTTTTGCATGTTGGGTCTGTCTGTGTGAATGGCAGCTGGAGTTGGAGCCTGAGTGTCGGCTTCTGACCGTTGCCTAATTTTTTTGCACCAAGCTGTGGCCACTCTTGCATAGGCAGTGCCTTCACGGAGCATTGATGATATCCCCTCAGGCGCTCGCTTCAAATCTCGGGCAGCTTTCGCTGGAAGATTTGGCCACGGCGCGGATCCCGTGGATTCAATGCCGAATGTCATTCTCCCTTTTCTGTACGCCCAGAAACCAGAAAAATTCAGCCCTTAGCCTTGGCGGCTTAGCGCTGTGTCGCCTCGTCTGATCATCGATACTACCGGACGTGCAAGCCAGAGAGGAACTAGAACGGTGTTGTAATTTCGGGGTTCTCTGCCATAGGATGATGAGTCATGAGGGATTCGCGGTGGGTTTGCTTCACCTTGAGTCGTTGTTGAGGTTGCTTTGGAATTGTGGGTAGGAAGTTCAGCCCTTGAGTGCAGGCACTGTGGTCCTTCGGCACTTTGTCTACGGCTCCTGCCAGCTTTTTGGAGGCGGGGTGGGAGCACTGCAGTTGCGAAGTTTTGCCTTAGTTTGGTTTGTGTCTGTGAGTGCCTTGATTGCAGTGCAGCTCTTTGAGTGGACCCTGCGCAGAGGAAGCAGCAAAGGAGGCTGTCCGGAGGCTCGAGCTGGGCCGCCCGCCTCACAACAGGAAGTCATGCCACACCCCAGCTTCGGATGGATGCGCTCAGTTCCTGAAGGTTGAAGCGAAGCGGAAGCATAAGCCTTAGAGTGTACTTCGGTCGTACTCCACAAGCAGTGAATGGACTTGGGAGAGTTTTAAATTGCTTCACAAGACGGGATTAATGATTTCATGTCCGACCACCTTGGTTTCTAAGGTGAGGCAACCACGCCGAGAACTCTCGCAGATCTGGCCTGGGGCCGGCAGCCCCAGTCCACGTCAAAATCTCTGAGGGCGATCGAACAGGGTGAGTTGCAGCCTAGTCGGGCCAACGTTTGCAGCAAAAGTCCGAAGAGAACGGTCGTAGGTTCGCTCATGTGACTCCTCCCAGCCTCCCGCACGAGACCAACCAACCAGGCTTTGCGACATTGGGTTTTCCAACGTCTCGGCTCTTCGATGTCCTGCAGCTGCGGCTCTTCAGGCGTGAGAGTTTCGGGGTGCAACTCTTGCACTTTCGGGCCGAGGATGACTGCCTTGTGGTCCTGCCTTCTGCGGGCTACAGTCGCACCACGGATATCTCAAAGTTTGCCACTGCACTTGCTCCAGTTGCAAGATGCTTCGAGCTCACGAGCCCATGTGGCAGACAGTTGCGCTGCAGCATTTCTGTGCTGTTATCCAGTGGGCAGTAAGACCAATCCCTGAGTGTGTGTGCGAGCGAATCGGTCCAGCTCAGAGAGTCCGTTGACAGGTGGGACCACGAGTGCGATATCTCTTGTCGCTCCAACTCCGAGCGGGCCGAGTTTTTGAGCAAAGCCCAGGTCGTGGTTTGGGCACCTTGGCTTGGTCCCTTGCAGGATGGGAGTTGATGCTATGTAGCACGGGGTTGCACTGTCCATCAACCCGCCAAAGATCGTTTCTAGTGCAGGCAGCAAGCCACATGGGTGCCTTGCATGCCCGAGCCCCAGATTGCTTGCTCCTGTTTCTGTCTCGACCTAGGCTATGCATATTACGAGTTGTTAGCATGATTCGCATCATACCCTCGAACCCTCGAGGGATCTTGTAGGGATTGTAGGGTTTAGGGGAATCTACGAATTGAAGGGTGTTGGGTTCAAATTACGTACCGGAAGCTTGGGCAGGTTTTAAAGCTCCGCGGCTCCAGCGTCCTAGGCCCCATAAACCCTGCAAGCCAGACATGAAGCCTTTTCGGATTGGGAGAGCCATCCTTGTCGGTGGAGCCCAAGTCACCCTGCCGTCGAGGCAAGTCATGGCAACTGGAATCGAAGGGTTTCGCATCAACTGGTTCATGGTTCGTTTGACGTTGTTTGTCCTCATTGGGAAACTCGGTCTTGGCAGTGCCATTTGCAAAGGAGAGTGCGTACGATGCGGCGGTAAATGCAAGTCTTGAGTGGCCAGCTGGTTCACAGGAGACGGTATGGCTACACCTCCAGGACGTGTTTCGAAGCCCCGCCCTCAGTGCAGTGGCCCTTCGACTATCTTCGACTCAAGCATCAACACCCGATGTCCTTAGCTTTTGAGCTTTAGCACTACAGAGGAGGCGTGTGACAAGCTCGGCGTGCCACCCCAGCGAGAGATCCCATTCTGAGCAGGACTTGCCGACCTGCTTGAAGCAGAGCGGGGAACCGTAGCACGCACAGACACCCCGCTATCTGCGGCAGGCAAGTCTGCCTGTGTGGGTCGATTTCAGGGACGTAACACATCGGAAGGCGAGCATTGTTTCAGTAGGGCGCCATGTGTGAGGTTCGTAGCCGGCAAGCATCCAGCCACCGACCACCGGAGGAAAATATTTGTGTTGGCCATATTCGTCTTGCTTCCTCTTATCTTCTGACCACACCATCTGCATTAACTTCAGTTCGTCCCAGAAACCGAATTCCGCGTGACTCTGCCGGAGGTTTCCGAGGCCTCCCTGTGCCGCACGTCGTGCAGAACTTCCACGACAGGCCTTGTAGGGCGAGCGGTGAGAGGCTTTGACGGCTTTGATTGAAGACTTGAAGGGGGCCGTTTGAGGAACAAGTTTCGGCTCATAGGCCGGACTTGCGAGTGCCTCGGAAATGGGCTGTGATGTTTCGGAACGTATTTGGGGTCCTGAACCAACGGCTTCGTGCCGCAGCTTGTGCCATCCCGGGGACCTGGTCAGAAGCAGCATGCTCCAATGCATGCAACTCTGGAAGCACTGTTCAAAAGCCAGGTCTGGTATGTGCTTTTCTTGGAGGAACACCAAACGAAATTCCCACACCAGGTTTGTGTTGTTCAAGCCCGAAGGCTGGCAGGCGGGTTCTTGGTGGAGCTTTAGGCTTTGATGCTGAGCGAGAGTCCGCTTTCATGGCTTCATGCAGTCTGCATACAACTGTGGACGCGTGTTTACTGCCCGGTGGGGAGATGTGGCCAGGTGTGAATGAAGCTCCACCCACTCCTGTGTTAATCGGCAGCAACGAGCATGCACGGCAAGGGCAGAACTTAGAGGCCCTTGCTGTAGGCGACTCCGGCAAAGACAAGGTCTGCAGCTTCTGCCGCCTTCGAAAGGCTCTCGGCTCAAGGATCCGTTGGGCCTTGGGCTGACGGCTTTTCGCTTACAGCTCGCGATGCGCACGGAGCCGAGATGAAGAAAGATACGCTGCTTGTACAGTAGTTTTGCTCCCTCGGGATCCGGGAGTTCTGACTCTGCGTGCCGACCGGGAGATTCCTGAGTCATCTCCGGCTCAGCCTGCCTTGAAATGCTTGCTTCAACATTTGCAGAGCCGGCATGATCCTGCAGAACACGTGTGCTGTGATGCCCCTGTGCCAAGGTGCATGATACTGTTTCGAGCCAGCCAGATCCAGGCAGTGCCAAAAGGATGAGACCTTCCAAGGCTCCACAGGATCTCCCGAAGAAGTCAAAGTTGCATTGCAGACCCTCAGCCGGTGACCTTTGCCAGGCATATACCACGATTCGGCTGAAACTAAGTGTCGACGCAGTTGTTTGTTAAAGGTCTTCAGAAGCCAGGTCTTGTGGGAAAGACTTCACATGTTTGTAAGATGTCTCAAGCTGCGGGGCATGAGCGGGTCGCTTTGGAGATCGCTAGTTAAGTTTGCCAGGGATTGTGTTTCTTCATCGGGGCGACAGGTCTTCAGATCCTAATCTTGGTCCGGGTCTATCGGTCTGTCTGTGGCCGTCGCCTTGCAGGCGACCCTAGACAGCGAGTCGGCCTGGGCGTGACCATGCTCGAGGGGGAGGTGTGGACCAGGGATGTGCGAGAGCTGCAGGAGCTCGTTGCTTGTGTCTCGTGTTAAAGCTTACGTCATACTTCGTCATGTGGTTGAACCTCACGGCTTGCGTGGTCTTTCGAGTTGAAGCCATGTATCTACCGTCGGGGCACAGGGACCAGGAGAACTGGGATAAGCATCGTTTGCAGATCCGCGAGTGCAGAGCAAAGCAGAGCAGTTGAGAACTGGAAGGGAACATAGTCTGGAAAGATGTCGCGAGCATGAGAGGCTTCTGAACCGGCTGAAGGCCAGAATGCGGGAGCATCTGTCGAGGCCACGGCGGAGTGTGAATCCTGCATGCATCTACATCAGCTGAGACGTGACACCTGCTGATTTACACGCGTGTAAGCGTTACTTCTTTCTGACTCAGGGATTGGCTCAGGCCCAGCTGTGCAGTTCGGGGCGAGCCGTTTTGCCGCAAGCATGGCCTGCTGCGAGAGTGCAGACGCCGCACCCATCGGCAACGATACCGAAAGCGTATGCGATGCAGGCAAGCCGCGAGGAGCCGGAGAGAGCCGAGATGCAACGAATCCTGGAAAAGCGCCCGGTGAATCGCAATCCAAGTTTCAACCGGCCAGTGCGTCCCATGCCCATGCACCGTGGCTGACGAAAAATACGATGTCATGCCAGGAACTCTCGGCGGCTCCAATCTCTGTCCGATGTGCAGGTCTCCTCTCGATCGAGGGCCGTTTATTGGAGCCTGCGAGGTTGTGGCATGCTTTGCGCAGCGAAAGTGTGTCCGGCAACAGTGATGACTGATTCCGAAGCAGAGCTGGAGAGCCGTCGGAGATGGCTGGACGGAGATGCACCGCGGTCTGGGGGCTTTGTTCTCAACTAGAGCATGAAGGTGCGCATTCCGAAGACTCTTAGTCCTAGTAAACAAACGAAGCCAGCAGACCTTGGTCAGACTTGTCTGTCAGTTAGCTGGGCATCGGTCGACCTGGCAAAATACTCGTAGAGAGTTTGTTCCCTAGCTTCGCTTGAATTAGATCCTCTTCTGCAGCCAAGCGAACTGGCATGCACGAAGCGTTTAGATGTGCAGTTTTGTCAGGCTTTGGCTGGTTTTGGCCAAGCCTGATTGCGGCTTTAAGCACAAGCCATGGGTCGCCTGCAAGGCTCCACTTGGAGCCTCCGCTTGCGAAGGCGAAGTGCTGCTTGCCCGAGTCCTCGCCGGATTGCCCCAGCTGCGAGAGTTAAACCATCTTGAAGCCCGCCGTGCCGCAACAGCAAGGCAGAGATGGCAGGACATCGTGTGGCGGAGAGGATATATTGACTCATGAACATGCAGCCGGACCACAGGGGCCGTGCTAGCTGACATTTATTGCCGTCAGCCCTCAACCCGAAACCCTCACCTTATGTCAGCCTCAAGCCCTAGACTCTGAACTCTGAACACATCAAAGGAGCCCTATGTCATATGACATGTGCCAACTCGATAGCGATATGGCGGCACAGTTTGGTTAGTTTGATTTGTGGTCCCGAAGAGCAGGCCAATGCCAGCCCTCCACACGCAGCGACGACACCTGCCGAAAAGAGGCCGGCCTAAGTCTCCAGGCATTGCTTGTTCGGGGCCCTGTTGCCCTGTTGCATTTTTGAGGAGTGGCGCCTGTGACTGAGTATTTATGGGCAGTTTGCCGGTTTGGAGCTTTGGGGCGGTTCTTACGGATGTTTCGGCAGCCTTCGGAGAGTTTGCCCTAGTGTGACTTGTCAGCGCCTCCAACAGCCCGAGGTTGTTCCAACAACCGTCACTGCGAAAGTGGTACGTTGGGGTAGAGTGCGAAGAGAGAACCAGGCCGCGTCTATATAAGGTTCCAACATGGCACCATATCATACTATGCTAAGTATTTTTGAGTATTTTTCCATACTTGCATGTGTACACTGCCTCGGTCTTGTTTATGTGGTACATGCTGCCATGTAGCTACTAACATACTAACATGAGCTCAGCACTGATATCTCTAAACAGCCAGCTTCCGAAGGCGGGAGTCCCAGGAGGAGGCCAACAGCCAGGCCCATGGGTGGGAGCCCAGAGGCTGGTTGAGGCCAAGATTTCAAGACTGAACACCCGATCCATCATGCAGATTCCGAGTATCATAGTATCATGAATCGTAAAGCACACTTTTGAGGTTGGTGCCGCAACTTCTTCACTGCACGTGCAGCTATGCATTCGGAACTCATTCGCGGTGAAACGTTAGCTGAACTGCTTGTATCCCTCTCTTTTTGGCCCGAGGCGAGAACAAATCGCTTAGCTGCTACATGGCCGGAGCAGGCCGACGACGACATTCACTTGTTCACAAAAGCTCAGTGTCCAGACACTGGCATTGTTTGCACGCTGCAACACGTGCAGGAAGGTCACCGGTCCATCCGCAGAAGTTCTACTAATTCCGGCAGCCCTAAACAATCTGCTACAGGGGTCTCGTCGACATGGTAACCAACCATAGTCGACAAGTCTTTGTAATGACCATATTCCGTGCATTGTGCACTGCGCAACAAATCAGTAGTAGTCCTTTAACTTGTATGTGCGCACAGAGTTAAGTGGTGTTCTGCACACAGGCCACCCCGACAAGGTCGAAATCCTCTGCGCCTTCGAGAGTGACTTGACCAGCTTCGTCAGTGGTTTCCTTCGCGGCCTTTTGATTCTTTGGTTCTGCTGAAACGCCACTGGTACGGGTGAATGATGGTGCCTCGTGAAACCCATCGATGCATTGGGGCCAAGGCTTGTAAGGGTGGTCGAGTGTTGCGTGTGCTCCCGAACCCCATGAACTTCTGAACGACCTCGGCAGCCAAGTTTTGCTTCTGCGACTTATTTCGTATGCCTGGCTTAGTTATTGTGGTGTTCGTTTTCTTGTTGCGAACATATGGGGCCTTTTGATTTGGCCATGTAGAACCTAGAGCGAAGATTAGCTGCCTTACCGGTCTGTGTTGTGAATATTTGGGGCCCATGTGCCATTTGCTAAAAGCCGTGAGTTGATGGCCTGTCTGTACTATCGCTGCCGAAACACATGAATAGCCGTTGCAAGGAGGAAGCTTGCTCCCATGTCGGGTTTAGCGTCTAGTTTAGCGCACATCAGACATCACGTAGTAAAGCCGAATCGAGTTTTCCTACAGCACCTTAGGCAGTGTTTCTGTTGAATCTGTGGTGTGACATCAACAGTTTTTGATGGGCAGCATGGGGGTCAAGCTGGTGATGCTGTTGTCAACCCAGGAAGTGATTGTAGCTGGTGCCGGGTGATCTTTCTCAACTTACGGTTGGACCGCGTTGGCAAAGCTACTCCAGACAACACGCAGATATTCGTCAGAAAGTATCTGCGGGCATGGTTTCTGACGTTTCTGATTGGGGGTTCCGCATACCAGTTCCGTCCTCTCTTGCGGGGCTGAATCCGAGTTGTGAGAGCACAAAGTCATAAAGACGTCCGCCCCAGGAGCAGAAGGTCGAATCAAGCTTCCTGGCACATGGCGAGGGGTGGAACTTCTGCACAGTTCTTGAGGCATAATGGGAGGAAGTTTTAGCGATCGACACACGGCAGTACGGGTTTCATGACTCCGAAGGGTTTCTTGCATGATTTCCAGACCTTCTTCTGCACTCTATTCCTTGCGCGGGGTTTGGGTCTGCCCCTCGTCCTCCAAATGATCGCGCCCAGCTACAGCCTTCTGCTCTGGAACGTAGGGGAGCCCAGGGGAGCAACTTCCACCGCGGGCTGCAAGCGAGCGAGCTCGCACTGGTGATCACGAAGGTCCTTTGGATTCAAGCATGTGCATTCGCAAGTTTCAATGCCTGTCTCACCGACGGAAAGACTGGACGTGAATCCTTGGTCGTCTGCAGTATTTCGCCCGCTCTCATCAGGCGTGGTCACCGATACCGAGGAGCCTCCGGCCACTCTTCCAGGCCCGGGAGGGGGGTGCAAAGCGAATCCATCCAACTTTGAACAGAGCCGACCGGGCCCTTGAGCCATGTCGCTTGGAGCTCACGGACACTACCGCTCTCATTGGGTGAGCCAAGCGTCGAGTCGAAGAGCAGGGTGCGTCTTCATGC